TGGAGTAATACAATTAAGAGAGGAGAATGCACGTTAAAAAAAAAAAATTGTCAGTTAGCCAACTATCTACCAAAAGAGGTCAAGAGGTACTTACTTTACAGAAAGGTACAAGTAGAGGTGATAAAGAGCACAAATGTTTTATTAAAATTGGCTTTCATAAAGTAGAGCAAATAATATTTTCTATATTCAGTACTTCGCCTCTGAGAAACAGCTTCCCTGGAATGCTTCCATGAGGAATTAAGTGATTCTGGAGAGTGGAAGCAATGCATACTGCGTGCTCCCAAGCAAAACATAAGTCATTATGTTCAGACCATAAGCATCGCTATTGATTAAAGAAGCGCAGGTGACTGTGTGAAGATGTGCTCTGGAGAACAGAGTGAAGGAGAAAAAAGAAATGTCAGAAAGAAGACTTTTGAAAGGAGATTTAGGAGGATCTCTACTATTCCAAGACCCATTAAAGACTCCAGACTATCAATATTGACTCGAAGTCTTTAGTAAGTGAACAAAATATTCTAACTGCCCTATAAGAGAAGTTTAAGTTCAAGTACTGTGTAATTCTGAGTTAGTGACAGAAATGTGGAAGGGGAAAACTAGCGCAGTTGTCGTTGATGGACAGTGATGTGATCAACCTAACCCTTAAGAACAGCAGAGTCAGTCAGCTTTTTTCCTAAAGAGAATAAATATGGTTCTATATGACACTCCACTTAGTATGCAGATGGTTTTCCTTCAGAAAACAGGAGGTGATCACTGTAAAGGTCAGCAATTAAAAAAAATAATAAAAAGTAAAACAGCTGCATACAGAGATGGTTGAAGCACTTGCACATGTGGAGAGACAGTTAATTTGCTCTTAACTAGCTACTAGCAGTGGCTGTTTGCACAAAAGGAGACACCCCTCTCTAGCTTTACTGTGGAAAACTTCCACCATTCAAACTAACATTTGCTCCTTCCCATTCGAAATTAAAGACTAAGCTTGAGAATGGGCAAAGCATAGAAGTGAATATTTGTCCCAGAGAGTGAAAGTTTCTTAGTGTGAAGCAGTTTTAACGTTTTGAAGTATCCTGTCTCCACTCCTGAAATATCCCTGGGCTATTTTCCCTTGGCTGGAGTATGGAGATAGCTTGAAGGGAAGGAGGGACATGGAACAGAAATATCAATAGCCCTGTGTGTAAGGATCAGCTGAGATTGAGGTCCCGCTGTTTCAGTGTCTGTATATACACACACAGTAGATGCTGGTCGTCTTGGGAACCTTCTGTTCTTTAAATAAAAAGAGTTGTTACACCTATCTTACAGAAGAATCAAGAAATTTCTTTAAAAAAAGGCTCGGATGAACTTGTGGTAGAGTCAAAAACTGGACCTGCAGGCAGGATTGTGTTGCCTAAAAGTAGGAGCTATCCCAGAGAAGCCAGTGGGTGTAGCAGGGGGCTTGCACCAGGGCTGCCCTGGTCTGAAGTGGCAGCTGGATGCCAGGGGAGATACCCTGCAGGAGCTGCAGTGACATTTGGGCAGATGAGCCTTGGACTTGCACCTTTTTCCATTTTCATTTTTTCCAAAACAACATGTTTTTCCATGTACAGCAATGTGGAGTTGTTTCAAAGCTAATTTTGTGTGTCTGTGACCCAGGTTACAGATATGACACCTATTCCTGCATGGCCGAGCCTGCTGTTCTGCCCCATCACTGAATACAGCACAAGTCAGGAGGAATTCAGACACCAAACAGAACCAAGTCTCATCTTCCTTGACCTTCTCAGTGTTTCCACAGTCATGCTTTAAGTTTACATCAACAAGCTACTTGTCAGAAGTTTCTCCGCCATGTGAATGTTACAGCTCTTAACTGGTTTTGAATCAGGTCTTACAAAAGAAAGAGTAGAAATTACTAACAGCTTTTTATTAGCTTGCAAAGTGAGAAACAACAACAAAAAATTCCCGTCGAGGGGGTGAGAGAACTTAGAGTTGAGGGGAAGAAGAATGTTGCCTGCCAAACCAGGGGGCTGCACTGCATAGGAAATAGAGCATGAAAAGGATTCGTGCTGTGATGTCAAGATTAGAGAGAACAAGCAACATCAATTAGCAAGTGGGAATGCAAATACTGTACATGCAAGTGTAACTTCAACATAATTCCAGGGATGTGGGTGTATGAGGAATTGCGCACTCTCCAAAGCAGTATTAAAACTGCTTCTCTCCACTGACTGGAGCTGCTGTCCAGTGTGTTACGTGTCCCCAGCCTCCACTGTGCTGTGTCTGGAGCTGTTGCTTTCCTCCCACTCTTTATTTTTTTTGGGGTTTTCATTGCAGATGAAATTGCAGATTTTATTCATGTGCTTACTTTACATTTGGGATATGGAGCTGAGAACTACATACAGTCACCTGGCAGAGCCCAGCAATTCAGCTTGTTCTAGTCCAGTCTGATGTAGTAGAGAGTCTTCCAGTCCATAACAACATGACTTACAATGAGAGAGATCAAGTCTACTCCAAATAACTGCCTCCTTCTCCCAGCTTTTTCAGAATAACTTTCTACTTCCTTTAGTTCTTGCCCAAATATCGGCAAAAAAAAAAAAAAAAAAAAAAAAAAAAAAAAAAAAAAAAATCAGACTTTTTTTTTTTTTGCTTCAGCTTCGCTGAATTAGACTGATATATTAATCATAAATCATGTACAGAGGAAGGAAATGCAAGGCATTTATGGGACCCATCAGTGCTAGGTCAAACAAATAGTAAGGATAAACCTGCACTGGTACCAGTAGGAGCCATGACCAGCAGGAGCGAGTTGAGGCAGTTGGGTGAAAGTCGTGGAAACAGCCAGCCACATTCAGGAAACTACTTCAAAAAGCTATGGATTATCTATGTGCTTTTCTGTGTGTTGCTTTTCCTTACATGCCCCAAATTGATCTCACTACTTCATTTCTAGGGTTTAATTTTATTGCTTTTCCTTAAGGAAATCAACTCTTTCATTGCACAAAAATAAAAGCTGAGCTGTTTTCTGCTTGAATGCATTTTGAGGCAACATAGTGGGGAGGAGGAATGAAGGGGATGATTCAGGTTTTTAAAGGAATGAGCCCAAAGTCCCCAAATATAGTGCTAGTTCAATTGCAAAGGGGCAAGTACGTAATTTTCTCGGTAGCAAATATAGCTACAAGTAACTAAATCCGAGACATTCATCTGCTCTCTTATAGAACAAGACAGAGCTCAGAAATGATTTTCTGTTTAAGTACATAAGATCAAACATTTTTGTCGTTTTAGCCTTCTATCTGATTTCAAGATCTTCAGACAGACTCTCTTTAGATATCATTGCTTCAAGCTTCTGCTTTCATCGCATTAGCCACTCTTCATGAGCTTTTACACATCAAAATGGCTTTAGATACATGGTTGAAGGGAGAGTACTTACGAAGACTTTTCAATAGCAAGTTGAAGAATCTGCGCCTGAAACTTTATACAAGCACACTTATGGGAAGAAAACAAATAAAGCACCAAACCAAAACCCACAATACTCTATTCTCATATCCTTTCAGGAGGAAGGAAAAAAAAAGACATTTTCATTATGCTTGAATTCATCTCTGTCAGTGTGCACAACCCCATAAGAAGGGATAATCCTGCCTGTTGAGCTCTTTAGAGACCAGGTGGAACAGAATAACATAAGAACAACTTTTTGAGCAATTCTCTCCCTGGTGCTTTTAGCATGGGCCTATACCAAGGTCTGCTATTAGAAAGACTTTCATTTGCTGAGGGATCACTTAGGCTTTTGCTGAGCCACATCTCCAAGGATGTTCAAACCCTGCTGCTTCTCAGTCTCTGTATACCAAAAATTATTTATTCCTAGCTAGTCTGATGACCAGACTTTGTGCTAAACTGTTTCAGCTGAGAGCAGAACTAGCCTTTGTAAGACTCATTAGTGATATTCCCAGCTGTTGGCATCCCCCTTGTCACTCATGCGTCACCAGTACCTTGCACTTAAGACTAATGAGCAGCAGATGACAATAACAACACATGTGTGTATTAAAGCTCTGTCATCTCCCATAGCAGCTTGGTGGGGCAAGTTCAGCCTCCCCTCTGCCTGAGGAGGTGCCTTCACACATGGAAAGTGAGTGGTTGTGGTGTCCAGCTGCAGCTGGGATCCCGAGGAGCCCAGAGCAGTGGCTGGATGTTTCCATGGTAAGTCCTTTAAACTGTCTTTTTTTCTTAACATTTCAGATTTGCCTCTCTCTGGAATAAGCATATTGTTTTGAGACAATTGCTGGTGGTGGGACCAGTGCAAGCAACATGAGAAGTACCTTTCCAGAATGTTTTGGGGTTATCTTTGTGTGTATGGGCACAGATGTGTTGATTCTGACAATAAACTGAAAGGCTGGGCTGCTCAGCTGTGTGGTGGAAATGCATCACTACCAATAGTCATTCTGCATCTGAATTTCCATTTATAGCTTTCAAGATATCCCACTACTTAAAGGGGGAGAGGAAAATGGAAAACAAATAACTTGCAATAACATACAATAATATTGTTACCTTACAAAGGAAATGTATGACAGCAACCCCCTAAAAGGTATTACTGCTTTAAATAAGATTGGGCTCAAATATCACACAGAGAGTGTTGTAGAAGATTAAATGCTAATAATCAGATCAAGACTGGATATATGAGATAAGAGATGAGGCTGGGAAGTTGCTTGCCAGGCTGAACAAAGAGGAGGACAGGAGTAAAGTGATTAGGTCAATTAAGGAGAAATATGGTTTGATGAAAAACTTGATTTACTTCTGTGAGTGTAGTATTCTGAACATTCAAAGAAGGAGGAAGGAGAGGGGAAAAAAAAAAAGAGGCTTAAATCCATGGACTGTTTTTTATTTGACACCCTATATGCCAATGTAATCAAAAAGCTTCCCTACTTCCGAATGGGGATAGCCAAAGTTACCTGTGACAAATAAACACAGCAACATTCAGCATGTTACAGGATATTCCTCGAGTAGGCAGCTTGAGTGAAAAATGACCCTTTTCCCCATGTTTTGTGGGCAGGAGGAAGGCAGAGAAGCTGCGGGTGGCTCCGAGCGGTGCCTGGGATATGGGGCAGCCCACGGCTCTCCTGGCCTCTGCTCTGCCTGCAAGAATGAAGCATTGGACAAGTGCTCCAGGTTCCAGGGGCCCCACTGCAGGAGACCTGTGAGTGCTTATGAGGCGTTTTCTTATATTCCTGCCTGTTAACTTCTCATTAATTCAGGGATAGTTCTGGAAACATAAACATATTGTAGTGGATTGTCTTCACCATAACTAAAAATAAAAATAACTACCCTAAACCCCCACAGGCCATTACTAATTGACCTGACATGCTAATTAAGCAGTTTTGATCAGAAATAATTAACATAATCCAGCCAGACCAATTATAGCACGCACACACAAAAAAAATATAACTTTTTAGAAGCTTTAATTTTAAGAGTATCATTTGCAATACAAAAGAGCCGCTGATTCAGCAAAGCGAGCGGGAGTTCTGAGTTTTGGAATATATGTAATAATATATAACTGCAGTGTTACCATGCTCAAAGCCCAACGGAAGCGGTGATAACCTGAGAAGCTGATGGCTTCTTTGTGGCGGGGCTGGGCCAGGCCAGGCAGGGAACCTCCAACCTTTATTCTCATTTCTGAGAGAGGCTGACAGAAGGTGACTGCAGCCTAACTCCTCCAGTAGGACTGAGGAATGACCCGACTGCTGGTCCCACATTGCAGCTGCTGTGGGTAGGTAGGGAAAACATGGGTGCTGAGGAGCCTGCTTTTGCAGTTTGCTCTGGAAAGACACTCGCTGAGGGTTAGTGGTCACTTCCAGTGCAAAAGAATAAAAATCTCAAGTCCCACTATCCTAAATGTAAAGTAAGAGAGAAGAAAATACAACTCATGATCTGAGCAGAGTGATTCAGTTACAGTGCCCACAACCACCTCACTGTAAGAGGTAGAGATGGTGCAAACAGTTGTTGATCATTTTTTTTTTTGCAGGTGAAGGGGGCAAAAAACAACTGAACAACAGCTACTGAACACATCAAAGGCCACTGGGATAATCAAAGGATCCCAGTAGCTCTGCTGACCCTTTTTCTGTCGCTGTTTCAGCTGTGAGATCCATCCTAGACAGACAAGGTCTCGATTTGGTGTGCTCAGTGACATCATGCTGATTGGCAGCGTGCCAGCTCTGGGCACACAACCCTTCGTGGCGAGGGATGGGCCTTGAATCCACCACCTGGGTACCTGAACAGGAGGAGTCCCAAGCCACTGTGATGTGCTGTGTAGTGTGGCTGTGCAAAGATAGATGGGATTTTCCAGAATACACATCTTGCTCTTTAGATCTCAGCTAATAATGGTTTGACCCCAGGGAGAATTTTTAGCAAAACATTAAGTTGTCATGCTAGGAAGTTCCCTACCAGGGAATATTGCATTTGTTAAGTACCTAAAAAGACAGTTATAAATGTAGAGAGCAGCTTGTTTTCACAACTGCGTGTCTAATACAGGAAGCTGTTCCATGGGAACTAGCTGCAGCTCTGAGCATCTCAAGGTGCTCTTCTGGAACTTCATTTTCTCTCATTTTCTTATTCCTTGTAAACAAAATAACATCAACTTGGGGCACTTTAGGCTGTTTAAAATTTGGACCCCTTACACACTCACTCACTCGCACCATCACTCACTCCCAAGACTTCTGTCATCTCGGGGAATGTGGGTTTCAAGGCTCGGATCCAGTTGGACTAACTAATTACTTGTGTTGTAATGATCAACCTGCCTAATTTATCACTTCTTTGAACATTTAATTAGCCAACAGTGCAAGGCAGTTAGGTTCTGAATTAGGATAAATTAAAATGCTGGCTTTGCAGCTCTAAGGGTATGCAAGGCACTGCCAATTGCTGCTGTGAAAATATTCAGCAAAGCAGATAAGGATCTAAAGAACTCAGCCAGGTTAATGATTCTGATGAAGTAACTCAGCCTTTGAAAAACTCACTGTGAAGTGTGGATGTTTCATCACATGTCAATCTGACTGTGCTGGAAGGTAAAAACTTGAAGCTGAAAATGGCAATTTGCTCCTCTGTGTTCAACTCCCACTCCCTCTGGTGCGTGAGGTTTATCTGGCCACCTACAAGTCTCCTCTTGCCCCAGATAATGGAGGTGCCAGTTCCGTCCTCGTGGACATCCTTTCAGGGAAATGCCTGTGTTTTATTTTCCTATAAACAAAGTACAAATTTGTATTTCTGTGTATTCTAACTTTGCTTTGGAAGAGCCCTAGTATTGGGCAGTCAGAGGTTCTTGAACAGATGCAAAATAATAAACCTGACTATGAACTTCCAACTGGGGGTGGGGGAGAAAGAGCAACGGAGGTGGTTTAAGATTAGTAGTCAATGGTCAGATTTTTAATACAAGTAGCAGTTGAAGAACTCTCATTGCTATGTTCTGTCTTTTGGTTTCCATGACTAAGCCATTGTGCTGAACTAAAAAGGACCTGGATAACGCTCTCAAAAGTACTGAAGAATCACAGGCCTAGATCTTACTGGCCTGTGGAATTACTGGGATTACTGTGGAAGGGATGAGGCTCTCGCTATACTCGCATGGCTGGTTCAAAGCCATGGTGCAAAACCCCCCTGAAATATGAGTGCCCGAATCCTTAATCTGTGTTCTCCTCTCAAAGTTCCTGTTCTTCAGGCATTTATTCAAATAGTGACCATGTTGGAGGCATGGCCTTGTAGTATAGGAAAGAGGACCGGGAGATGCATTTCTGTAATGTGCATCTCTACATGTGCAGTTTCCTAGGAGGCATGAAACCACTGGGCATCTCCAGAGGTGCCATGAGGTGTGCCCACGCATACATGGAGTCTGGCATCTACTAATATAAAAATCAGGAGTTGCAAGCAGCAATGCTGGTTTACTTCCAAATAATTTGAGCTACACTTTTCAGTGGTATATTTAGTGCTAATTAGGCAAACAATTCAAAATGCACTACACTACACAATAATATCACTTCATTAAAAAGGCTTCAATTAAAGGAGAAGTTCCCCATCAGAAAGCTATCTGCACACATTACAGCAGTGTTCTCAAATTAGTGACAAAATTACAGCTTTCCTGTTACCATGAGAACAGCAACGTTTCTCACAGACTGTTGAAATTATTAACTCAAGGAGCATTTATTTCTTTAAACTTCACTATTATTTATGTGGGGTTGGACAAGCTTTGGCTGTGCCTGCAGTAACACCATTAATCACTTGTCTGGTGAACTATTGCCAGCAAGGAGAGAGTCTCCACCAGTGGTGTGTGTGGGTTTTTTAAATTTTTTTTTTTTTTTAATTTTTTCCCCCAAAGCGATAATTATCTGCTGCCCTTGTTAATGCTGGCAATGTGTGGACATGATGACAGAGACTGTCAGCTCGTGTCCCCAAGAACCTTGCAGTCTGCACCCCGCAGCAGCTGGTGAGTTCACTGGTGGTCTGGATTTGGTGGCATGGGCACATGGAATAGCACGGAGTGCTTTGAACTGCTTTGTGCCAGTCCCTGCTGACTGATGGCTCAAGTCACCCATTAGCTTGAGGTTGTCACAGCAGTGCACTGCAGACTCCTGCTCCAGCAGGACAAGAGCTGCATGTCCTCCTTGCTGAGAGCACCTTGATGCTCTGCACGCAGGTCCCTCCTCCCCTGCCCTGTGCTATTCTCATGCCTCAGCAGCCCTTTGACGTCGAGGGAGTGAAGCAAGGCTACTGTGGGCACCTGGCTCGGTGTGAGATGTTAACAGCTGGTGTGGGGCTGCAGGCACTTGGTGTGTGCCCTTGGCAGAGCTGCCCGGCGCCTGCTGCACTCACTGCTCTGCCCAGTGTTGGCTGCTTTTGTCCTCAGGGCTTGGTGGGCATGCCGGTGATGTCTTGGATGTGAAGGATCCCAGCTGCCTGGTCCCTTGCCCCTGGAGCTGCCTTCAGGTAGGAAGTCCTACCTTGACCGCACTGCTTTTTGTTGCCCGTTGCATCTGTTGCACTTCCAGCCTATGGCAGAGCCCTCTGAGTGAAAGTGAGTGGTGGCACCAGGTGTCACCTGGTGACAATGTCAACAGCTTCTGTGAATACTTGGCGTCTCCAGGTGGTTGGTAGGATATGAGCTGTGTCATCTGCTGTGTTTCCCTGTCCCTTTGCAGAGGGGATCTTTGTCTGGCCTGTGTGAGTGCAACACGAGGTAAAAATCATTCTGAATTCCTTTCTTCTCCCCATTTGTTTTCTGGGTATGGAAATCATCATTTTAAAAAGGTTCTTCTCTCCCACTTTCATCTGTTAGATCATCAGCAGTTTTGTGCCATGTTTCTGTGCTGAAATGCCCTTTTTGGGGAAGTAAGCTGTAGTTCAGCTCATGTTTTCTTACACTCAGAGCACTTCTCATGCTTGTAATCCACAGACATTAGTGGGAAACAGATAGTACAAAGCAGCTCAGAGGTGTTTTCCCAACAAGTAATTTGCAACCACATTGTTTTAGTTTTGCTTTTGTCCATATCAAATTCAAATTATTTTCAGAAAGAAAAGCAGCTTAGGAATGGAGGGTATTCTTTAACTCTCAGTGAACCCCACTTTCAAACAGGCTCAGGCATGGGACAGCTTAGAGCCAGCCTGATACCAGCACAGGCAGATTACATGTCACCTGTCCCCAGCCATGCAACTGGTCAAGCAAACACCTGATGAGCTAAGTCAAGGTCCTGTCCATGCTGGTAAAATGCAGCTCATCTGCAGCATGTAGAATACCAATACTTCTGGAAATGCCCTTTTATAAAATGCTTTGCACTAATTTATCCAGCATATTTTAGGTTACTTGCAGTCCTAGAGTTTCTCTCAGACTCATACCATGTGCTTTCATAGTCTTGCTGCCTTATTTTCTCAAGGATCCTGAAGCCTTTGTGATTAATAGCTGCTTGCTGTTTATAAAAAGAAGTAGGATAATAAAGATACAGCACTAGTAACCATGATGGACCTAAGAGAAATAAGGGTTATCTCTCTAAATGAAAATAGAAGACAAGGAATGCCCATGCTTTCTGGGAAAAATAATAAGATTCCAGAGATAAAGTAAACCATAACCATCTTTATGATAATGGGAGAGGAGCACATCAAGAATTTTATTAGCACGAACTACAAAAATTAGCTTTCTTTGTTTTCATTTTAGAATCGGTGAACATTCTGTTTCCATAATAAAAACAGCAATGAAAAGAAAATTGGACACAGGGCATTACCCGTATTCCTTTGCAGGCAAAGATGATGTCTTTGCTTTTAGCGGACTAATACGGGGAACTAAGACCTTCCCTCTGGAGGGCATGGTATGTGCCACCAGTGTGCCAATGCACCAGTGCCACCCATGTGCGAATGCACTGGTGTCACCCTCTGTGCCCTCTGCTTCCGAACTCAGCCTGTGCTTCCCGAATACCACATTAGGAAAGAGTCTGACCTCAGCTAGTAACACCAGCTGAAGGACCAAAATAGGGCTTATCAATATGAAGATGAATAGAGGGAGGAAGTTTCCCCTTTCTGCCTTTTGGCTGCAAATGAACACAGAGCAGGAGCCTGTATCCGTGTGATGCTGCAGGGCAGGACCTCCTGGCAGATGCTGGAACCAGCCGACCTGGATGACACCATGCAATAACAGAGATAGGGCTCTGAGCTGAGGGAGGGAAATCTGAGTCATCATGAAACTGCCATTAGAGGCGTTTTTATGGCCTCTCCTCTGTCCAGCTTAATAAACACATAAGAGCCTTATGCAGAGAGGCTGTGAGTGGCAGAAAGGCTTCCTGGATGGGTCCTTGGAGAGCAGAAACATCCACAAAGGGAGCTAGGGTAGCCTGGAACGGCTTTATGTGACTATAAGATATGGTCTTGAAGCAGACTGAAGACATTACTCAACCTGCCTGAAGATAAATACAGTCTAAAGAACTGGTGCTTTCTGGGTTACCAGAGCTGTTTTATTAACATCACCAGCAGAACTGTGTAAATTGTACGTAGTGTTTGGTGTAAGAACATCTTCCTCATCAACAGATACTGCAAGAGGACTTATAAAATGTCTGTCTAATGCACATTAACTCAAATTCAGGCTCCAGAGATTCTTCAATTTTGCAGCTGTCTAAGCCATTGCTAACTGGAAGGCTACCACCATGAAGTGCTTCAGGATTGGAGAAGAACTGGTACTTCTGCACCTTCAGTTTCTATAAAATGTTTTTTGTCAATTTATTTTGGTCACATGGTCATTTCTTAGCAAGATTCCTAGAAATGTGGGAGTTCAAGTTCATGCAGTGCCTCACTGTCAAAGCCCAGATTGGATTTGTATTGGCTACTGAAAGGGCTCCTTACTGCCATATCAATGAGATGTATGTAGCAGTTCAAGAACAAAATACAACCCCCTCTTGTAATGATCATTACGCTGCAGCTGGAAGGCCATCTGTCATTTCTCAGGAGCCATTTCTGATATCGTAACTCTACAAGCTCATGAACTGTGAGTGTAAAAAAAGAAAAGCATAAAAAAGCTGTTCCTGACACCCAATCTTGTTGAGAAGACTTTGTTCAGTGATTGCTCCAGTTGCATTGCCAATGACTCAAAACATTTTTGCCAGGGCCATTAAGCAGATTAGGGGAACATTCATTTATGTTTAATGCTCAGGAAATTGGTACAATTGAATTCCAAGTCTGAGGGGGAAAACAAACGAAATCAAAGAAGTCAATGGGTTCGGAGGGGAAAGGCATCGCCAAAGAACATCACTTTGGAAAACCTGCCTTTGGAATTGCTTGCAGGCTGGTGCTCTAGGAGCCTCATCCTTAATCAATTTGGTCACTTAGTGCTAGCACTAAAACAGAAGATCGAAGCTCAGAGCCATTACAGCCCCTGCAAGAACAGCGGCAACTAATCCCATATTTTTAAGAGTTCTTCCTAACTTCACCATCAGATTTACAGAACTGAAAAGTTAACATACTGGACACCATGGCATCATCACAGTGTAGAAGGCCTCTCTGAGACCATTCCAATTTTATCTTGCACTGTAAGACTAAAATCAAGGTTATAGCCTTCAGCACATAATCCCTCTCTGGACAGCTGAAATATTAAGGTTTGCAAGAGTAACAT